TCAAGATGAATAAAAGTATTTATAAATATAATATCAGTTATAAATCTTATCAGTATAATAAAAGTAGTAATTAATAATCTTTAGAATTATTTCAACCTTTAGCCATTTTAGAAAAGAAATAAAAATATATTATCATAAATTTTATAGTTCAGTTACTTATCACTAAGTTTAAATATAATACTATAGTTATATTTATAGACAAGTTATCAAAAAGAATATATTTCATACTAATTATAATAATAGTAATTACACTTAATATTACAAAGATTTTCTTTGAAAATATCTTTAAACTACATAACTTATTTATAATTATAATATTAGATAGAGATATAAAATTTATAAGTTGCTTTTAGAAATCTCTTTTTAAATAACTTGGAATAAAATTAATAATATTAATAGTTTTTTACTCTCAGTCAGATAGCCAAACTGAAAAACTAAATAGAATTCTAAAAGAAATATTGAGAATATATAATCTACTAGCAAAATAAATAGAATAAAAATCTAGTAGCTAATAAATTTACTTATAATAATAATAAGAATACTTCAACTAGTTATATATATTTTGAATTAGATTATGAATAGATATCTTGTATACTAATTAATATTCTGTTATAATAAAATAATATTGCAATCTCTCAAGATTTTATAAAATATTAAAATATCATAATTAAAATAGCTAAAGATTTATTATTAAAAGCTCAAGATAAGCAAAGTAAATATGTAAATCAATATAAAAGATTTAAAAAATTTAATCTTGAAAACAAAGTTTTTCTCTTTATTTGTAATATAAAAATTTCAGTTAATAAATAAAGAATAATCAAAAAACTTATATCAAAGTTTATAAATTCTTTTGAGATTATTATCAAAATATCTTCTATTATCTATAAATTACAATTACTAATAAATATAAAATTATATTTAGTATTTTATATTTCATTATTAAAGAAGTATAATTCAGATAATAAATATAATAAATATTAATTATTATCAGTTATTATTATCTTTAATAATAAAGAAAAATATGAAATAAAAAATATTTTTAACAAAAGAATTCATTATCACAAATTTCAAATTTTTGTTAAATAACTTGATTATTCTTTCTTTAAAAAACTTGAAAAATATCAAGAATATTATATTTTAAGTTAGAGAGTATATAATAATTTAATTAGATTATTTTTCTTTTAGTTTAGATCTTTATTTTATGCTATCTGTATTATATATTAGTTTTATGTTACTTTTTAAGAAGATCAATTTCATTCTGAATATATAGATAATTATTATATATTTAATATATTAAATTTAGTATATTATTATATAAATAATTATTATATATACTTATATTATTAATTAATATTTTTAATTAGATTTTCTTTTAGTTATTCTTTTCTTTTCTTACTTATTTTTATTAGTTATTATTTATATTATTTTTTATATTATTATTAATTATTAGAATTATAATTAATTACTCTTCAAAAATATGAATTAAGTTAATTAATTTTATTAAATTATATGTATTTTAAAAATAGATTTTATTAATTTATTCACTTTTTGTATTTATTTCTTTTATTATAAATAAGATCTATTTATTTTATACTTTTATCTCAGATCTAAATACTTTTAAATAATAAAAATAATTATAAGTTATAAAATCAAAACTATTCATATCACATTTTATCTTGTTTATAACTATTAATAAAATAATCTTATATAAATAAGATTTTTTAATTCTGTAAATTAACTTTAGATTTAAATACTTTTAAATAATAAAAATAATTATATATTATAAAATTAAATTTGTTTATATTATATTTTATAATTATTAATAAAATAATCTTATATCTAAATTAAAAGAAAATAATTTAATTAAAATTAGATAATTAAAAAATAATATTTTTATATAATTATATATAAAATTATAATATATTAAATTATAGTCAGATCTTTTTATAGTTACTTATACTTAAAAAGTAAAATTAGATAACTAAAAAAAGAAAATTTAAAAAAAATAATTAAAAAAATAAATATAAAAAGATATAATTATAAAAAAATCTTATTATATTTATATATTTAATTTATATATAATATTTTAATAATTAATAATTAAGATTATATAAAAATATATTAATTAATTTATTTAATTATAATAAATTAAATAATATTAATTTTATATACTAAATATTAAATATTATATCTTTTATTTATATTGTTAATACTTTTTTTTATAATTATAATTTTTTAATTTAATTTTTTTAAAAATTATTTTATTCTTTTTTATTTAAAAGCTAAATTTTTAGAAATTTTAAATTTAAATTTTATTTTAATATTTTATTTATTTATAATAATAACTAAAAGTAATAACTCAGGAGTTAAATTTATTAATAAAATATAGTAAAAAATTAAAATTTTTATTTTAATATTTTATTTATTTATAGTATTAACCAAAAGTAATAACTTGAAAGCTAAATTTATTAATAAAATATAGTGAAAATTGAAATTTTCTTTATATTAAAATTTATAATTTTATTAAGAAATAATTTTTATTTTTATATTAAAATAAAGTTATTAGTTATAGTTAATATATATTTTTTTAGATTTTTTAAATTTTTTCTGAAAGAGTTACTTTAATTGTAAAGTTAATGCAAAAATTTTTATTAATTAAATTTCATTTTTGAATTTACTTTTTAATAATATTCTTAATATAAATTACTATCTTTTATTTTTTTATAATTTTTAAATATATATAATAATTCTGATAATTATAAAATTAGAATATTAATTTTATTAATAAAATATAATAAAAATTGAAATTTTTCTTTATATTAAACTTTATAATTTTATTAAGAAATAATTTTTATTTTATATTCAAATAAAATTTATAAGTTATAATTTAATATATATGATTTTTAAAATTTTAAAATTTTTTTTGGTAGAGTTATTTTAATTATAAATTTAATATAAAAATTTTTATTATTAAAAAAATTTAATAAATAAAAATTTTTATATTAATTTGTAATTAATATTATATTTTCAGAAAAAATTTAAAAAATTTGAAAAAATATATATTAATTTATAATTTATAAATTTTATTTTAATATATAAATAAAAGATATTATTTAATATAAAATTGATTTTTTTATTATAAAAGTTATATAAAAAAATTAATTGATTTTAGTATATTAAATTTTAGATATTAATTATATTTAATTAATTTTAATAAATAAATTTTATATTTAATGTTTTTAATTTATAATTTAAAATATTATTCTTTATTAATTAATTAAAAATTTATAAATTTAATTATTGATAAATTTATATATATTAATAAATAAATTATAAATTATAAATTTTAAAAATTTTTTGAAAATCTTATTATTTAATTATATAGATAATAAATTTATATATAATTATATATTCTGATATTTAATAAATATAATATTAATTAATTTTAAAAAATTATTAAAGATTTTTAAGATCTTATTATTATATATTTAAGAAAATATAATACTAATTTAAATTTTTAATTATTTATTTTTATAAATTAATCTGTTTATAAATTTTCAATTAATTAAAATATTATTTATTAAGATATTTAATAAGTATAAGAATTAATATTTTTTAAATTTTATTAATTAAATTTTTTATATTTTATTAAATATCTTAATAATTTATAATTAATAATTTGATTAAGCTGAAAATTTTTAATTAACTAATTTGTAAAAAGATTCTTTTTTATTACTATATCAAGTTTTAAAATAATATATTTTTTATTTTATTTAAAAAAATATGAATTAATAGAATTTTTTGAATCTTTTAATAATGCTATATTTTCTTGATTTTCACTATAAAATATATAAATATAAATACCAAGTCTTAATTTTATTATATAATCATGAATAATTAATATTATTTATAAATTGAATTAAGAAAATATATAAAATATCATAATTTAGCAAGATTATAAGACTAACAAATTTTCTAATATTATTGATTCTTTTTCAAAAGAATTGCTTTACAAAATTAAGAATATCTATCAATAAACTTTTATGATATATCTCTCTGACATGTAATAAATCTTATATGATATTAAATTAGATCTAATTTGACGAACCTCTCTTCATTTACAAACATTCAATAAATTTTGGTAGCAGAATGATAATGTTGTTCATTAAATCTATATTCAATAACTTCTTCCTCAATTTTTTGAATTCTTTGGATTTGTAATACATTAATTTTCCAAATTGATATATTCTATTTCATTAATATGATTATAAATACATGTATGTTGAAACTTGAGGTCCAGTGAGATCTAGCCAAACCTAAAGGTCAAAGTTTTGAATTTTTTGGCGACAGGAATAATATAAAGTATGTCAGCGCAAATAATCTAGTGATTTATTGCCATTACTTTCCTCCGAACTGCAATTCCAAGGATGGGAGAAAATCTAAGACAAGACGCGCTCCGCATAAATTAGGATCCCGAAAAGTTTTCAATGCTATATGTATACTGTTCTTATTCCTTAATACAGAAAAAGTAAATACTAATAGCTGGTCATTTTTTCAAATCAATGCGACGCGTCAAAAGTTCAAACTCATTTTTTAACCAGTATATCTTAAGTCTTTCGTTTAAATTTACTATTCATTCCATCTTAATGAATATTTTATATGTAATATGATTAAAAACAATACTTGGTAATATTTTTATAATTATTTCGAGCTTTGCATCTTTTTATTAAAATTGAAATATTTTTTTGGAGTACCGAAGCATTGACGAAAAAGAATCCAGTATTTACCGTTTTTGCTATTAATATATCGAAAAATTAATTTCCGTGCATAATGTAGTAACATTATTCAGTTATCCATATCATGTATTAATGTTGGATAGAAGTATAAATGTAAAGCTTTTTACCTGAAAAATTAAACAAGTGACACCGTAATGTATACAATTGTACAAGATTTATTGAGTTAATAAACTTTTTCTTCTTAAACCTAACATTCAATCGCAATCACTTAAACATTGATGTATCATCACTATTCCATCTGAACATTGTTTCTAAACTAGGCCTATTTGTTTGTTATAGCTTATTATTATAATAAGCATTTATTGTTTGAAAATACATGAAACTTACAATTAATATAAAGGATGGTAAAAATTTGTCACCACCAATTTATAACAAGTAATATCAGAAACCAAATGTGATAAAAATACGTTGTTCTATCTTTATCAACATTTCTTCGGGTCCAAGAATAGGCGTTACTACTAGTGTCAGAACTATTATTATTTCCGTTAGCCTTCTCTTTATTCTTTCCACTTAATATCGGTTGATTTCCCCAATCTGGGCTGACATTCGAACTCTTATTCTTATCCCCATTTCCATAATTCTCCAACAATCCTTTGTCCCCTCCAAAATCAAATAAGCTGCTACAGTTGGCTGCCGTGATGTTACTCTTCAATTGCGCCAACAACGAGAGTATCGGCTGGAATGCTAGATCAGGCGGATTTGCATTTACAAAATCGAAATATATTTTGGCAAGTATTAAGAAATCTTGGCTGCATATTATTGACGACGGAGTTTTGGCTGAATAATCAATCTTGTTTTGGCTTTTGAATGAATAGTCGATGTGTGTCTCGGGTGGAAATTCGTAGTCGGTTGTGTAGACCACTTGGTTTGGTTGTGCGTAATTTTTTTCTATGTATTGGTGACTTTGGAGACTTATCTGATCCCAGCTATAACCTGCACATGAAAATCAAATATATTTATATGAACGAAGATAGATATATGTACGTGATTCTTAGTATATACTAACCACCCGAGGAACTTTTGGTACAAATAGCCTGATATTCCGGAACGGCAAAATAATAAACTCCAAATAAAAAAATGATAGTTTTTCCAGTTTCATCATACGCATTCTGAATTTCATGCTTACAGTCCGCTTGAATTTTTTGCCATCCATTTTCCGCGGTTGTAGAATCACACGAATTAGGCAACGAACAAAATGTATCGGTTTCCCTTATCAAAATCAAATCATCATTTTTATCCTTTACCGATATCCCTGCAGATTTTTTCCCGGATGTTTTATGATTGTCGGCAATGAAATTTGTCAGTCGTAGATACGGTTGACAAATCAATGGGGAATCTGGATCGTTTAGTTGTGTGTGAGTTGAGAGTGAGAATAGAGTGTTTTGACAGGGTGTGCATTTTGATGTTCTGAATTGTTGTAGGCAGTCTGCGAGCGTTGTGGGTGTTATGTAGCTTAAAATTATCAAACAGCAAGTGGCTATTATGTAAATTTTATTGAATATAATAAACATGATTATTCTTTGAATGAAGAATTAACTTTAAAAATCAAATATGAGAAAGTAAAAGAATTATTGTTAATAAGATTACATGCAATCACTGCTTTTGCTGTTTATTACGAATGGTTATAAGATTCGTAACTGTCTTTGATTTACTTTTACGGTATTCCAGTCCATTTGAGAAATGTACAAATAATTTACTACATGTACATTTTAATTAATTTTTAATATACATGTACATAGTATTCTGTGGGTTTATTGTGTCCATAACTGATGGTATAACATTACTTACATGTACATGTATTTGTTTTCTGTAAGCGTAACGGTATGCAATAATTATTTGTTTATTTTTAATTATATTGATCATTTCGAATTTAGATGAGGAGGTTTTTTGTTTATTTCTAGCGCATAGAATAAGTTTATAACATAGGGGGACAATTTTACTAAATGATTTAGCGTTAGTTTTCGAATAATCATTATTTTTTGTTCAGTACTCGATATAGGAACAATATCGTATCGGTGCATGCACGCGCTTGGTAAGATAATGTTATTCGTTAGTTATTATCGTTTAAATTCAATAACGATAAATAAAAAACGCATACATATTTTTTTCGGCTAGCTTTTCATGGGGTTCAAATACATGTAATTTCTCGGATTGGGAAATTTTGTTTATTGTAACAAATCGGATCACCGAAAATCATATAAATGAAACCAACATGCATTACCCGTATCGTTATAATATTTCTTTAACCATACTGTATTTTCTTTTACTTTTAATCCATCCCATAGAAAAATTTTCGCCACCGCAAAATGATTAACTCGTGTGTTTCTTTATGCAGTTCTAACGAACAAGACGACAACCATAATAGTGACGTAACAGAATGCTGTTTTAAAAATTATTCGCAAGAAGATATCATCGATTGTGATGAATCATTGGAAAGAATTTTAGAGAGAGAAAAAGAAGAACAAGAAGACAAACATAAATTTTTCCGTATGCTCCGAGATAACTTTCTTGACACAGTGATGAAATGTGAACGAGGGGAAATTGCTCCTCGATACAAAAAATTGCTCGATTCCAAAGAATATAACATGCAAGAGCTATTTCAACTTATACAACAACCCGAATACCGAACTCGTCACGCACACTTGCTTGGGATATTCCACGAGTATGGTATCGGGACGCGGATTGATTACACGAAAGCGTACGAGAATTATAAGATTGCGGCGGATAATCACGATATTCCGTCGTTCGTTTCCTTGGGAAATTTATATAGTGAGGGACTGGGTGTGGAATTGAATATTGCGGCGACAGTAGAGTGGTACCGAAAGGCGGCGGATCAAGGGTGTGTAAGGGGTCAAAATAATCTTGGATGGTGTTATGGAACCGGGTTTGGAGTGGAGCAAAACGAGACGAAAGCTTTCGAGTGGTATAAAAAGGCTGCGACTAATGGAAATCCGCTAGGGCAAGTTGCAGTGCGAATTCAATACGAGCATGGCATCACTATTGAAGAGAACATGGATGAAGCCTTTCTATGGTACAATAAATCAGCATTGGCAGGTGCCGTTTGTGGATATGCCAATTTAGCTGACTGTTATGCATTCGGAAAGGGAACAAAGAAAGACGAAAAGAGAGCATTTCAACTATACAAATTGGCAACGGAAGGCGGTGATATTGACGCACTCTACAAACTTGGCAATTGTTACATGAGCGGCTTCGGCTGTGAACGGGATCCTCAGAAAGGCATCGAACTCTACGAACGAGGCGCCAAGCAGGGTAACAACGATGCAATATTCAAACTCGGACATTATCACATGTCCGGCGAAGGATTCCCAAAGAACGATCGAAAGGGTCGATTGTTTTTTGAACGTGCCTCTAATAATGGACACTCCCATGCAACGTATTCTCTCGGACTCTGTTATCGATACGGAACAGGTGTGGTCCAGGATATGCATTATGCGCTGAAGTTGTTTTCGAGATTAGATAGCGATGAAGTGATGGAAGAATTACTTGACGCATTTAGAATATGAGTATTTTTTATTTTAGCAATTAAAATCCCTAGAATTTATTATACATGCAATATAGAATAGAAATTGCTATCGTGTATCACTATTTATTTAAGTTATTGATTCTTTTAAGAAAAAAATTACATTACTAAATACCGTCAAATTACGTATATACTCTAAAACAATTCGCAAGTCTCCTTTTATTAAAAGTACGTCCATTTCTTAACATATAAACAAACACAAAAATCGCTTTATGCATATCCACACAAGTACCCCATCCTCTTTGAAAACAATTCGTCAAATTGACAAATCCTGTTCTCGAAGCATTCCAATGCAAATGAAACAACCTTTCACTCCAGATGAAACCGCGACGAAGATCTTTCTTGCTATAGATCAGTTGACCAAGGTAGAATCTCGCGAGTAGATTCATTGCATCGACCGAACCCAAACTAGCCGATTTCTCGAACCAATAAAGACCTTTGACATGATCCACCTCTATACCATCCCCATGAAAATAGTTTCTCGCTAGTCTGAATTGTGCATCGATCATGTTCGCTTCGGCGGCTTTTTTGTACCAAGAATTGGCCGTCACTGAATTTTGTTCTACGCCAATGCCGAAGTAATATGAAGTCGCGGTTTTTTGGAGACCTATTGGATCGTGGAGTTCTACGGCGGCCTTGCAGTACCAGTAGAATGAGTTCTTATCATCAATGGGTGCTCCAAGTCCTTGTGAGTTTAAAAAAGCCAATAATGTCCAGTATTTACTATCAGCTTGTCGTTGAGTAGCGATTTTAAATAATTTTTCTTCTATATAGTTATTCTCTTTTAGGAAACTTTTGATTTCTCTTTCAATAGCTTCATTATACTGCACAAGCATAGTTCTCTCGATAAAAATTTCCGTAACGTTGTCAAGTATCCATGTGTCTTTATTGTGTTTCTCGACGTTGTCTACTACTTGTTTTTTTATTACTTCCATTTTTTTTTAAATGCTGAACATGTAACATTAATGTTGCTGTTCGGAAATGACACATTCAACCCGACCTGTCGTGTATGCATCTACATGTAATACATGAACAACGTGTTCCATAAAATTAACACAATTTGTAGAAAATAAGAAAGAGTTGTAGAAACCTTACTATTTCAATATGAAAATCAAAAATAGAACTTTACTACATGTATTCAGTATTTTATCAGAACCTTCTGTTTATTGATATACATGTACATGTCTATTTATTTCCTTTACCTGCTTTTCAAATTATCGTTATATTTTCGCAAGCATGTTTTCTTTCAATGAGATTGATGCCATTCTTGGATATTTTATTGCTTTATTAAAATATATGACAGAGTATAAAAATGACGATATGAGGATAACTTATAAACATTGAAAAATATTCCGAAGAAATAAAAAACAGAAAGTCTAGCTCGTTTTTTAAGAAGAACGAATAGAAGAGGGAGTCAAACTTCTTTTGCTTGGATTAAGAAGAATGAATTCAAAAGAAATAGGTATCAAACAATTTCACAAGTTTTCGATATCCGGTGTCATGGCCATTTCGCTTCGCATGAACAGCCAGAAAAATAGTCTTATGCATATCCATACAAGTACCAAGCCCCTTCCGATAACAATGCATCAAGTTGTAAAGCCCCGTTCGAGAATAAAACTCATAATACGACTTTTCTGCCCAAAAAAGTGCAAGCCGATTATTCTTCTTGGTATAGATACCGTTTAGATACAGATCGGTAAGTGAATCCATTGCTTCGACGAATCCCGCATTAGCCGATCTTAAGAGCCACTTGAACCCCTCAGCATGATCCACCTCTATCCCTCTTCCTTTAAGATAATTTATTGCTAGTCGATGCTGCGCAATTCCCATCCCAACTTCGGCGGCTTTCTTGAACCAGTAATTTGCTTCGATATTATTGATTTTCACCCCTTTGCCGTGGTAATAGAAGACACCGGTTTCTTGGAGACCAAGTGGATCATTGAGCTCTGATGCGGCTTTGTGGTACCAGTAGAACGCTTTTTTGTCGTTGGTGCTAGGAATTCCCATCCCTCGTACATTTAGAAATGCAAGTAATGTCCAGTATTTACTATCTTCTTGTCGTTGGGTCGCTACTTCGAACAACCGTTCCTCTGAATATTTATTTTCTTTTAGAAAATCTGTTATTTCACTTTCGATGACGTCATCATATTGCCAAAGCATATTTCTTTCAATGAGGATTTCTGAAACTTTGTCGATTATCCGTGCGTCTTTTTCGTCCTGTAATTCATGTATTTCAATATCTTCGGTTGATGGTTCATGTATGGTGAGGTCGTCCATTTGTGATTTTTTGATGTGGAATTTTGGTGAAATATTTATATCAAGTTTATTTTTTTTGGTCGTTGGTTCTGTACGTAGCCGGAAATCACTAAAACTTTTTTACCCTCATAACAAATGCATGATATATCATGATATATGGGTCACATGCTTATATAATTTATCCTAATATAGTAATAGCAGGTAAATAACTCTCGTAACACTAAATATGCATTATTATCGTTTGCAAAGCGACAAATTCAATTTATTTATTCGTGGTCTTTTTGAGAAAACGTGTAATAATACCAGTTTGTGACTTGATTTTGTTTGTTATTAAATTATAACGATAAACATTTCTTAAATGTGGTTTAAAAAAATACGATTACATGACATGCATTTACTAAAGATTATATGTCACGCCGGTGGTGTTCAACACCACCCACATTATGTTAACAAGATTTTTTAGGTCAAAATTATGTTCCTGATATTTTTAATTAGTGCCAGAAGCTAGATTTAAACATCCGTTTTCTATATTTTTTGCATTGTTCGGTTTGTTTATTTTCTTGTTATGATCAAGAAATTTTGTTATTCAGGAGGCAACTTTTATTGGTTCAAATTTATTGGTGTTTAACACCGCAGCTGTGGTGTGATTTATCAAACGTCACCGAAAAAAATAAAACTAAACCAATTCTATCTAATACTAATCTAAACCCCCAACGTTAAGAAAAATAAAAAAACATGAAAAGTTAATAAGCAACAAAATCATTTTAATTGTTTAACATAACGCATTTAATATTACGCATTTCGATGATTACCTTCAGATTCATGTTTTTTAAAATGAATATCAAAGAATAGTATTAACATTTATATTAATCTATAAAGTATATTTGTCATTTTCTTTTGAAAAAAAGAATATTATTCCAATTCGTTATAGTGCTCAAAAATTTTCATAAAACTACGTGCTTAACTAAATTAAAACAATGAAAAATATAACTCTTTGGTCTTAATCTATCACTCGTAGTTTTTATGTAATTACTTATGAACACAGGACGGAATGTGCTTATGTTACGTACCTGATCGAGTTAAATGTACTTTTACTAAAAGAAACCAAACTTAGTTGTTCTCTCTCCGTAAGATTTTGAGAATCAAAATCAATTACGAGTACGAGCCTTTGATTTCTTTTTAAATACATGTATGCGTTAGACCATTTTTCACTACTTAAGGCATACGCATTTACAAAATAACGAAAGATCATATGACTGTTTTCAATACATATACATGTACCTGCGTGTGTGCATGTACATATGTTGGCGTTCTCGTTAAGCAAGATACACGTATCTCATCTTTTATTGGTGACTACAATCATAATACGTATCAGCAGATTTTTTCTAAAAACGGAAAAACAATCGTCATAATATAAAACGGAAAGGATTTTTAGAAATGTTTAATAAACTCATTAAACGAATAGTTCTGCTTTTAATGTAAGTGCGCAAGATTGTATACAGGGTCTGTTTTGGAAAAATATGTTTGATGGTGTGGAGCCCTTCAAGATTATTTTTGCGAAATTGACAAGTTACGTCTCGCAAGGTGAATTTCAGAAGGAATAAGATGAGCATACATATACATGACGACGAAGGCACATTACAAAATGCAATATTTATAAAATTGCTTTTTGACAATAACAAATATTATCGAAGAGGAATGAATAATATTGCAATCTTTTACGCAATGGAAAACGATTTCTTCTTGTTTGTTATTTTAGGAAATCTAAAAAATTCAGGAGTCTTCTTAATTAAAACATTTTAAAGTAAATATATGTACATACATTTCACAAATTGACATAGAGAAAATAAACATATTTTTATAATAAAAAAATATTGTTAATAGAATATTCAAAATTTCACGTAACTTTAAATCAATCTTAATTTGTATTCATCTTGTTTTTCGTTTTTCTATCTAAAAATTGCTGCACATACGTATGAATATTGATATAAACCAAACTTGCTAATAAATGAGGTTTTTGTGTTGAATTGAGCAAGAACGATGATAGATAGAGTAAAATATATCGTAATCAATATAAATTTGTTCGAATTTAAGATTGTATCAAAAAGCTCAAATCCAGTGAATAAGTAGAAGGTAACGGTAAAAAAAACAAAATGGAGTTGGTGTTAGTCTAAATACAGTCAAGCCCTCTATAGTCACCATTTTATCTATAGTCCTCGCATCTTTTTGAATTTAAGTGCATATATACTATACTTTTTATAGTAACACTCCTCTATAGCCACCAAATCTTGCGTTCCCAGCAATAACTATAGAGGGCTGACTGAATTAAAAAGACCAGATAGATACGAATCAAAGGCATTTGAAAACTACAGCAACTGGGATTTCTACAGTTTAAGCATAATTTAGATGATACCTTATGCTTTTTACATATATATCACTAAGGAATCACTGTTAACCAGAATGACAGAATTACTTTTTAACAAACGAACATGATGAATCAACACAATTTTTTGTTTTAGCCTGAAATAGAACAAAATATAAATAATGCTCTATCACAAGCTGATACATGTAATATAAATATTTCAGACAACAAAGAAGCTGTCAGATAGCAATGAGAAACGAAAACGATGCATTTTTTATTAGTGTTATTAAACCACGTATTTAAATTTTTCTGTTTTCAAAAATTGTTTTTCACTCGCCAACGTGGTTGAGACGCATGTAATTCCATATAGGGAATAAACTGTTTACCTTTCAGCAATTCTGCATCATTTTTGATTTAGTTTTAAAGTGACATGATAAATAAAAAAATGCACACACATCTGATAACGATTAGCATTGATATTCCAATTTAAGCTCCTTGAAAGAAATATTGCACCCTTTTTGATGATTTCTAACAATTTAACTAAGGGAACTAAATGTAACTGGGAAAATAAGCTACACAATGTCCTTCGTCTGTTTATTGTGTGAAATCACGAGCAGATAAGCTGGCATCACCTTCTCACGAATTTATATCTAGATAATGAATCGCCATTATTACGAGAATTTTTATTTCTCGTAATACGCATATCCTCTAACCGATCGTAAAATTTTTTCCCAAAGAAATGTGTTCGCAAACATTTTTAAAAGCCCGCACGATTGAAATTTTCATTTAATAAACGTCTTTTTAGCTACTGGCAATTCTACATAAAACAAAGAACACAAAACATGGGTTTTTGGGGAGTAACTATGGAAGTAGGCAAATTCACCGGTAAAGTAATAGTGGCGGGTATCGTAACAACGGCGGTAGTTACTGCAGCTGGTACGTCTGCCCCAATATTCGTTCCTTTGGTTGGAGTTGTGATATATGCCGGCGGCAAGATCGCCAAGTTAGCAATCAAAGATGAAGAGGAGGGATTTGCTAAGGGTTTTGCTGATTTTATAAGCGATATCTATCAAGATGCGGGAATTGGTGTGATAACTGGTTGCTTGGGGTCAGTTTTTCTCTTGTGAGTAATATTGGTAGTATTGGTGAAATGATATTCGTCGTAACATCGTAACAATACGAGCTGGTCGATTTCGAGTGAGCGGTGTTGAAAATAGAATAATCTCCTATTCTACATGTATTGGCTTACACGCTGATCTTTACCTTTTCTTCTCATTCTTTTGTGCGGGAGAGAACTTTTTTTTGACGGTTTAACTCATCCAAGTGGCTTTTTATTTTCTTTCGTGTCTTAATTTTTTTAGCGGTTACGTTCTTTGGTAAAATATACTTTCCTTGATTATTTCAACTAGAAAATAGGTTTAATTAGTCAGAAATACTTGGATTAATACAATAGAAAAAATAATTATTATGTATATATGGCATAACGATAATTCTATTCTATTCTTAATAAATCAATTTCCTTGTTTCTTTATCATGTAAAGCATACTAAACATGTGCGTTTACATATTACATTTATTTGTGATAGTAGATTTCATTCATTATCAGATTTATAATAAATAAATAACTCTAAAGTGATGATTATGTGGATGAATGAGTTCTTCAATTCTAACGACATCTATTTTATTAAGAGATCGTGTCATATGAAACAGTAATGTACTTCTTTTAACATAAATAATTACATAGTAATAGTCATTCTCAGCTGACTGCATTATTATAGCACGAGTTCATTAAAATAAAATCTTATATTCATATAACAGTACAGTATTTATTGACACGGACCTAGAAAAGTTTGTCATAGAGCAAAAAATTAAACTCAAAATTTTTAATTTAAAATTCAAATTTTAATAAAAATTATAGAATTATAATATTATTTAAATTAATTTTTTGTAAATTTTATTATTAATATATTATATTTATATAAGTAGTAATTTTTATTAAAAAATATGTTATATAATTTTAGAACTTTAACAACATTATTTAGTATTATTAAGTTATTTAAATTTGAATTAAATTTGAATTTGAATTTGAATTTGAACTTGAAAAATGTTCAATTCAAGTTTGATATATATTAAATCAAATTAAAACTTAACTTTGAATTTAATTCAAATTAAATTTAAAATAAAATATTAATAAAATTACAATTCAAAATAAGAAATAGATTTTTGATAAATAAATATTATAAAAATAATCAATTCATTAATATAAAAATATAAATAACAAGAAAAATTAAAAGTAAATAAATTATAAGCTTTCAAAATTTTAACAATTTAAATTTAAAATTAAAGTTCTTATTTATTATATAAATAATTAGAATTGATTCTTAAATCAGTTCAAATATTTATATATAGTCTGATATAAAAAGACTGATACATCAAATAAATATTAATAGTTTATTTTTTCAAAGTAAAATTTTAATTTTCTCTTATTTAATTAAGTTATTAGTATTGGAATTTATTTAAATATAAAAATTTTTATTATATATCTTTTATTAAAAAAATTTTACTAATATAAACTTTTTTGAATTATTATTTCTTAATTTTTACTAATTTAATTACTAAACTTTGAATCTTAATATCTTTATAGTTACTAATTCAATTTTTATGAAATTTAAAAAATATATTTATCAAATCTAGAACAATTTGCTTGATAATTTAAAGTTTTGATCTTGTAAATTGATAGTGATAATATTTAAATTATCTTTTTTTTTTATTTTAGTTTTTTTAATAAAGTAATACTTTATTTATTATTAAATTAAAGTATAATAGAATAATTAAAATAGTATAAAAAAATTAATTTAGATTATTCTTTTTTTAATATAAATAAATTATAAAGATAAGTTAAAATTTGAATGATTTTTATTATTAATATACCAATCTTTTTGCACTGAATCATAATTAATTATTAATTTTTTTTAAAAATTTTATATTATGAACTTTTATAAGTAAAATAATAAACAAGAATAATTATTTAAAATATTTTAATAATATATATTTGAAATTATTTTATAAATACAATATCTTTTTAAATGTTATTAATTAAATAATAATTTTATAAGAATTTTAAAGATTTAAAGATTCTGATATTTAATTAAATAATTATTAAATATAATTAAAATTATTAAATTAATAAATTTAATAATATTTTTTTAATTATTTATAATAAACCTATTTTATTTAGATAAATATAATTAAGATCTTGTAATAATTATTTTATAAAAAATATTTTAATAATGAAATTAATATAAATTATACAAAAAAATTTTTTCTAAAGAATTATAATTTTTCTAATTTAAAATTAAATTCTAATAAGAAACTGTTCTTTATATTTATATATACTTTGTATTATTATTGTAAAATTTTAATTTTACTAAACTATAGCTGCTGTATCATATCATTGCATCATGCCAAGAAAATATTGCATTATATTATCTCACTCTTGCATAAAAATCATTTGATTATTTTGAGCTATTATAACTATAATATAAATTTTCTTAGAATTTTTATTTTTCTTGCTTTATATTTTCAGTTAGTTATTTTCTAATTAACATTATTATTTAATTATTTATTTCTATATTTATTTCATATTATTAATTAATCAATAAGTATTTTCTGGAAGTAACTATTAAATATTACTAATAAGTAATTATGTATTAAATAATTTTATATAATATTAAATTATATTTAAAGATACTTGTTCTATTCTGTATTTTTAATAATCTTTTTTTATTTTTATGTTTTTTATTTACATGTCTTTTTTCCTTGTATTTCTGTTGTTCATACATTAACCATCATGTTTCTTGATATTGCATAATCGATCGAAATCGTGTTCAAGAATGATGAAAACAAAAAAAAGCTAATTTATCAATGTTATATAGGGTGCGCATTATTTTGGAACGCCCATGGGTGTTACCTCGAGACTACGTATGCTATTTTTAAAGGATATGATTTTCGAAATGATGCCCATGCTAAATTCAAAATACAGTATATGCAATAATTAAAATAACACTCAGAACTTGGGCGGGTGTTTCTACTTCATATTGGAATCGTCTCATCGAAGACATGAATAACCGTCGTCTTCAAAAGAATAATTTTATCTTGAGAGATCTGTGTTTCCATTCTGCGCCATAATCTTTTCTTCCAACGACCTGGTGAGAAACATAAAATGTCTATAAATTTTTTTCTAAATAAAAATATCAATTTACAAAAGTTTAGTTTTCTTAATTGTGTAGTTTTCTATTCGAACTGACCCCACGGATTCCTGATTTCAAATAATCTAAATTGTCAAGAATAACAGTACGAATTACACTATAGACGTGTCACCGACGAGTCCAAGTGCTTTATCAAATTTCTGTGTGAGGTGCACGCATTCGGTGTTTGTTTGGTCTATATAATTCTTCGTTCTTATTGAAGTATGAAGATTTCCTCAAGCATTCGATAAATGCGGATTTTATAATGATCAATGGCGCGTCTATTCTCACTGATAAAATGGATAAATAAAACAGAAAATAAGCCAAAATCAACTGTTGAACTTAAAGATCCCGAGAATGAATTGAAGATCGTGTTTCAACAGCCAGACCTTCGTTATTGAAAACTGCAATAATATTGGGTATAAATTTCACTCATTTGACTGCCGTAAAACGTGTCTCATATACCCAGGGTACAATACATTTCTCTCGCATCAGGGTGGATACTTTACATAGGAGGATACTATGGGGGGGTACAAGTATATGTTCTCAAATTTTCTAGGATCCGGAAAATTCTGATGTATAGATATCGGTATAAATCGAAATTTTGAAAGAAACTAGAATAAAATGGAATATATATATTACTCGTAATTATTTGCATTCAAATTAACCTGGCACATCATGTCAGACGTGTATTTTTCAAAGCTACATCTATAAGATTTCAATGTATAGTACCCCGGATCTTGTACAAAAAATGCGGATCAAAAATTAATATTCCTATACACCCCTACAATATATAAAAAAACGAAACTACCATTTGGAACTCAATATCTAAAAATCCAGTGATCCCATTTAAATGAAAATATTACCATAAGATTCGTGGAGTCGTGACAAATTTAATGGGAGTATTTTCATTTAAATTTGATTGTTAGATTTTGAGATATTGGATTTCAAAGTGGCAGAGTCGTTTTTAGGATTTCCGGTATGCATAGTACCCGGATCTTATACATAAAAACAGGACACAAAAACTATGGAGGTATTATTGTCGGGTGGGGTACTTGAGACCACGTTTTACGGTAGCATATTTTTATTTATTCATATTCTATTGCTGCTAATGATTTGATATTTTAACTATTTAATCTGGAGTTCGATTTATCGACACCAAACAAAAATGGGCTGTCAGCATTACGCTTCTGCAGGCATTTATCAAATTATTTCTAAATCCACAACAGTCTGAACCGACCAAAGGTGATTTTGATACTTTGCTTGGGTCAAGAATTTATACGGGAATAATATTGACTTAGGGAGTAAGCTAGCATGCTAAATCTACATTTCATCTATCAAACATTTTATGCTGGCATTAAATTTCTATTTGTGTGCTGCTTGATACGCTTCTACGTGAAGTGTTTAACTTAGATGATAAAAATGTTCTTTATATCGATATCGATATGTACAAAATGAAATACAAATAGATAAAATTCATTATATGTATTCGAATTTTACATTGTTTAACTACTTTCACTCATAGCTTTAGTTTCTCTAATGCAGCTTCTGCATCTAGATGACCACGGCGTTTAGCCTCTTTATAATATCTCTCGGCACCCTTAATATCGATTGGTACATCATGTTCCCCATTTTGTAAAATTTCAGCATACCAAAACAATGCTTTCTTATCACATGCTTTTAAGGCCTTTTCTAAGTATTCAAATCCATTCTTCTTAATATACATTGATCCTTTCAAACACGCCCGCGCGTACAAATATTGCGCTACGGCAGTATAAGTATCAACTGGCAGATCGTCAGAAATATTTCATAGCATCACGTTCATCTTAAGGCACACCCTCTTGTCCATCAAGAAGGTACCAACCAAGCAGATATCTTGCTTGATTTGCTTCGGGTCCTTCTTTTCTTGCGTATTATTTGAGATACGGGTAAACTTCCGCATATAGTTTCTTATTATGACGTTTCATACTTCTCTCCAACTCGGTAATTCATTGTTCTCAGTACAATAATTATGTCTATTGTCGAACTGAAGCAAAGCATTAGGAAATGTTTTTTCATCATCGTGACCTAATACTGATAATAAAGGTGATGGTGCAGTAGAGATAATATCACGAAAAGCTTCGTCATTCGTTTTATGCGCGGCAGATATATTAAGTGTCTGCATATCCAATAGCATTTCAAATTCATCACGAACTTTGTCGAAGACGAGGGTTTTTATAACAACAAGGATTCATTAAATGTTTATATTCTGAATCAAAGTCGGCTGGAACCGTAGGGCGTTTTTTAGGAGAAATTTTTACCTTATCATCAGAGTTATCAGCAAAAAATGGTGTTTGAGGTGAAGCGATTTCCACCATTAAAATACCAAAACTAAATAAATTGATAAAACATCGATATGTTGACTACTGTTTTAACAGTTTATAATTCTAACTTCTTTACCTATACACGTCTATCGCTTTTGAATATGGGATGTCATATTCTATTATAAGTTCTGGTGCAGTATATCTATGATTTATTATCATAAAATTTTGATTACATGGATGGCTTCCATTTTAAAAAAATCAATATTAAGATTTATATACCGAACGTCTGTTCGATTTCCAGCGAGTGATATCCGTCCAGGTTATTAATACGCAATAATCCAAAAGCAGTGAGCTTCGGGTTTAAATTTTCGTCTAATAATATGTGTTCGCTATGCATATATAAAAATAAAAATGATATTTACGCATTTAACCTTCTGGTATGAAACAAAACATTAGACATAAATTACCTCGATAAATCATTGTAGAAAATTTCTGCATTGTGGCAAAATTTTAAACCAGCTGCAATTCCTTCGGCTAATTTGAGCTTTGTAATCCATGAAATATTTTTTTCAGTTTTTAAATACTTTTGAAGATTATTTTTGATCCATTCATTGATTACATATAATACATTATGGATTTCAAGCGAACCGTAACTATTATTCGATGAGTTGATGAGTTTAATGAATAAACACTTTTATTAATGATTATAAAAGATTAATGGTTATAAAGGTCAATAGCTTCAACTTCCTATTTTTCAATATGAGCATCCCTTGATGACAATTTGATAATATCCGAATATTTTTGAATGTTATCCTGATTGGCAGCAATTTATTTTAAAACAATTGGTTTTCTATCATAAGTTCCATTTTTAATATCTCCTTTATCTTTAATTATATTAACACGATATTCTTTTTTAAAAGGACCAAATGATATAATAACAGTGGCGGTGTCTTTCATATTTAATCTCTCCTTTATCTTTAATTATATTAAACACGATATTCTTTTTTAAAAGGACCAAATGATATAGTAACAGTGGCGGTGTCTTTCATATTCAAGGGGTTTTTTGTGAATAGCGTTCTTTCACCGTCAAACATGTATTCTGAGATGCCGTTAAACAATTCTTTTCTTTTTTTCTTTAACTCATCAAAAACTTCCACTTTGTATCAATCGATACGTTATCGTTACCCATTAATATTTCTATTACATATTTGAACCAGTCAAGTCTTTCAGTATTCAAATCCTCAAGATTTATAGCGGTCGTCTTGACACCAACATCTTCAATTTTAACGCCCTTTGAAAGCAACATTATTGAAATTAAGGTATCAATGTCGTTCTGACGCGAATTGGCATTTTTCGTATGTCACTTCATCTGAATCAATTGAACGAATTGTCATTTTTATTTCCTTGCCTAAATCTTTGTGGTATTGCGAGAGCTAGTAAAAAATTAAAAACATTGTTAGTTTTCGATTATCCAATTCTTTTGATAAAATAACGATGCGATACATGCATTATTAGGTTTAGCTGCATTAATCAAACGACCGAGAACTGTTTGACTGAAACTTCCAGGTTTTCTAACTTCCTTTACATATTCAAAGACTTTTCGTAATATTTTTAAATTCTCTATCGTTTCGTCTTTTTCCTTATTTGAATGTTCGAATATAATCCATGCCAGAATTTAATTATGTCAGTTAAGTTCTGGCACACTTCTCGAGAATAGTCAGCTCTGTCACCTAACAAGACTAGTATTGGATTAAATTTTTGAGTTCACCCACCTTCTGCTGATTTCAAGAACCACTCGAATGCTTTTTTCTCATTTTTATTTATTCCGATTCAATTTTGATAGGTATGTCCCAAAAGGTTTTGAGCTGAAGGGTTGCAACTCCACATAAATGTTCAATGCTAGTTTAACATTCTTTTCAACTATAAATCCTGCTTGAGAAAGAAATCCCAGAAGCAACTTATACCGAATATTAATTTCCAAATAATTATGGATTTCAAAAGGATTTTGACTATGTGTGTCGTAATTCGGCGCCTATTTTATCAAAATCTTCACCTTTCCGAGTAAATTATTTAATAAAGTTACTAACTCGTCAGTAATTTTAAAATGTTGTTCATCATTGAAATTTCCAATCCTGAATCGTTTTCATTTTTGACAAAATCAAATTTATCGATGTCTATATATTCTAAGTCATTTTCTTGATCTCTGATACTTGTATATTATCCCAACATTTTTGATAGAGGTCGACATATTCACGATAAGTCCCAAATATGATCATTTCTTTCTCGCGAATGTTTTCATGATATCCAAATTTATTAGATGGAGGGCGACCGCTAGAAATCAAACACTAAATACTGTATATCTGATTTTTCGTCCCATCGAAAATTCTTCAAACCTTTTTAGAAAAGCTGGATCAACATAGCATGCAATTCTATATTCAATATTCGAATTGAAGTCGTCATCTGAGAGTTTTGATTTCTCCATTATGAACAAAGATATTATTATAGTTCCTTGATGCGAGAAGTTAAATAGCAATTAAAATTCTACTCAAAGTTAAAAAATAAATAGGATTCTTATCAAATCTCTATGAATGATGCCTTCGCTGTGTATACACTTTACCCCTTTTGCAAGTTGCCTGGCTAAAGACAACCTAACATTACCTTTCAAACTTTTAAATTTTTTTCCAGATAATCTTTAAGAGTTCCTCCATTAGCATAACTAAATATCAACATGTATTTTTGAAAAAAGCATAGATAAATAATACATGCAATTTAAAGAATAAATGTAAAACCACCACTTTGCTAAACTTGGACTTTATTACGCAAACTGATGATGCATTTCTTTTGATCGTTTCCCCTCAAAACAAATATAGAAATGGATAAAAAACACAATAAAAAAAACACACCTCCTATAAATAAAATACATTTATGAATTTACTCTTTATCTCATATAATTAAAATTATAATGGCACATATTCCCGTTGAAAAAAGATTCCAAATTTATACCCTTCTTAAAGAAGGATATTATTCCCGTTATATTGCAAATCGCAAAAATCCTCTGTTATAAGAATAAAGCAAAAAAAGATACTCATAATACCTTTAAAGATTTACCAAAACCAGGTCATCTTAGAATTTTTACTGGACGTGATGAACGAAATATTATACGTCTAATTTCGAATGGTAGTTTTCCCATTGCAACATCTATCCAAAAAAAATTTAAAACTGATGATAAAATTGATATCAGCACAAGCACAATAAAGCGAACTTTACATCATAATGGTCTTCTTCACGAATCAAGCGTAAAATATCATCATTGGACTATTAACAATTGAAGCAAAGTCATCTGGTTGGATGAATCGAAATTTATTCAGATGAACGTGAATATTACTGGAACGTGATGATGAACCTTTGAAAGAACATCACGTGAAACCTACAGTAAAATTTGGTGGTGGAAATATAACGGTTTGGGGTTGCTTCGGATTTTTCGGCGTTGGTAATATCGTAAATATCGTACGTATTTATGGTCATATGGATAAGAATTTATATCGCGAAATCTTAAATGATCTTTTAGGAACAATCCAGTGGTATGAAATTAATAAAAATGGTGTTGTCTTTAAACAAGATAATGATCCGAAACACACTACATACGAGATAATGATATCCGTTTTGTTCGATTGGCCTGCCCAATCACCTGATCTTAACCGAAATAGATCGTCATTTGAGAATGTCATCCATATTCAAAGATCAACTCTGGGATGCGATACAAAAAATTTGGATCGAAATTGATAACGCGTTTTTAATGAAGCTAATTGAAAGTATGGAGG